CGGCGGCGAGGCCCGAGCTGCTTGCAGCCGCCGGGCCTCGCTGATCTCCTTCTTCCCCTTCCCCCTGGCTCCGGCGGTCTCCTCCACTGCCACCAATCTCTTTCTCCTTTCCCCCCACAGTGAGGCCTGAGCGGCTTCCAACCGCCAGTCCGCTGCATGCGCAGGGAAGGCTCTTTTACTTTTGGGGGGATTTAAATATCCCCCCTATATTTTTTCAACTTTTTAGATTTTTGTGCACACCTGGGGACTGCCCCAAGTGTGCCAGAAAATCTCCCTGCCCCCCAGGTGCCCCCGATGTGTGGATTTAGATATCTGCACGCAAGGGGTGCCTTTGCTATTAGATATATAGAAATTGCCCAACCATTAAGCCCCCTTCCTACTGAAATTGGGTTTTGATTAGGAAACTTCCTGGGACTGACGAAGGGACATGACAAGGGAAGTGGCCAGCAAAACCCACCCCCAAGTCCCAATAGTGTATAAAAGGGCATGATCTGCCATTCTCTCTCTCTCCTCTACCTCTAGACCCACCCTATCTTCACGACTCTTGGTTATAGCACTGCCAGACTTGACCATGGGTTCTGCTGGTTCAGAATACGACCCTTATTCCCCCATAGTCTCCCTTATTTTTCTGTGGATCGTTTCATCCCGCCGAGGACAGGTACATATCACCCACCAACGATTATATTGCTAATGTGAATGTTGCTATCCCTTTCTATGTATATTTCTTAGGACTGAATAACTGTATGTGTGATTGTGAATGTATTTGTATGCTTGAAATATATTTCCCAGTACAGAAACCATTTCTTTGAGACTTGGCTTCTGCGTTTATTTCTGGGTTACTGGAAAAGGCGAGACTTCTGTGTACATAGGCTTCGCTCCCTTAGATGCCAATTGCACATTAATAATCATAATTCCCCATCTTTGTTAATTATCAAAGCAATTTGGCTAACAAGTGGCTCCATGGAACAGTGGATCTGTGATTTTTGTGGTACAGTCTGTGGCTACAGATATGATCTGTGATTGACAGTGAATATGGGTGACCAAACTCAGAAACTGTGAGGATCTATGAGGATCTGTGCTTTGAAACCACATTTTTGCACCATAAAACAGTGGATCCATTACTTTTGTGGTGCAAAGATCCTCAGGATCCATGATGATCCTTAGTTTGGAACTACTTTTTTGCACAGTGGTGACACCACGGAGTGGCAGATCCATGATATTTTGGGTGCAATCTGGGGCCATGGATATTATATGCAATTGGATAATGAACCTTACATGACCCAATGCAAAAATCCTGAGGATTCATGGTGATCCATGCTTCAGAATCATATTATTGCTGTGTGAGCTAAGAAGCAGTGGACCCATGTTTTTTTGTGTTGCAATTTGTTGGTATGGAGATGATAAGTGATCAGTGGTTAGTCTGGACTGAACCAACACAAAAATCCTGAGGATCCATGCTTTGCAACCACAGATTTGCACCATGGCAACAACATAAAGCAGTGGATCCACGATTTTTGCAATGAAATCTGTGGCTATGGACATGATATGTACTTTGATGGTGAGTTTAGGGTGACCCAATGCACAAATCCTGAGGATACATGAGGATCCATTGTTTGGTACCACATTTTTGCACCATGGCGGAGCCACAGAGCTCTGGATTTGTGATGTCTGTGCTGCAAAATGTGGCCATGGACATGACATGTGACTGGATAATGATTTGGGGATGGCTAAAAAGTAAAAATCCTCAGAATCCATGGGGAACTGTGATTTGGAACCACATTTTTGTGCTGGGTTTTTTGTGTGTGCAGTCTGTGGGTATTGCAATTATATGTGTTGTTGTTCAGTCGCACAGTCGAGTCCGACTCTTCGCGACCCCATGGACCAGATCACGCCAGGCCTTTTCCGCCTTCCTCAATTTCATGTTCGTTGCATCTATGACACTGTCTAACCATCTCATTATATGTGATTTGATGGTAAATCTGTGGTGACCCAATGCAAAAATTTTAAGGATCCATGAAGATCTGTGCTTTGGAACTACGTTTTTGCACACGGCAGGCACCACAAAGGAGTGAATCCATTATTTTTGTAGTGCAGTCTGTGGCGATGGACATGATATGTGATCTGATGGTGAGTTTGGGGTGACCCAATTCTAAAATCCTGAGGATCCATGAGGATCTGTGCTTCGGAACCATGTTTTTGCAACATTGCAGCAGTGGATGCATGATTTTTGTGTTGCAGTCTGTGGTTATGGATATGGACAGATCCAGTTTGGTGTAGTGGTTAAGAGCATTGACTCTAATCTGGGAGAACCAGGCTTGATTCCCCACTCCTCCACATGCAGCTGCTGGTGTGATCTTGGGTCAGTCAAAAGTTTTTTCAGAGCTGTTCTCTCAAGGGCAGTTCTTAAGAGAGCTCTCTCAGCCCCACCTACCTCACAGGGTGTCTGTTGTGGGGAGGGGAAGGGATTGTAAACCGCTCTGAGACTCCTTCCGGTAGTGAAGGGCAGGGTATAAATCCAATCTCCTCTTCTTCTGATATGTAATCTGATGGTGAGTTGGGGTGACTCAATGCAGAAATCCTGAGGACCCATGAGGCTCTGTGAATTGCAACTATGTTTTGCGCCATTGTGACCCTACAAAGCAGTGGATGCGTGAATTTTGTGGTGCTGCCTATAGACATGATCTACAGTATTTTGGTTTTATTTCATTTTAATCTTTTTTTTTTTTTGCACTGTTGCAAAGTGTTGGAACAGTATTTTTTATGGTCCAGTCTTCCAAACGTGATTTGATGCTGGATTCGGTGGAGTTCTCTTTTAAAAAAGTAGAGAACCCATGATGATCCATGTAGATCCGGCTTTTACTTTTCCCAACGTTTTGATGGTTGTTAAGCGGCACTTAATACATAAAGCTGCAGTGGCTCAAGTGGTTAAGATGCTGAACTGCAGGCTGTGGAAGGTCAGTAGTTCAGCAGTTCGAGACCCGGGTGCCGCATGATGGAGTGAGCTCCCATCTCTAGTTCCAGCTCCTGCCAACCTAGCAGTTCAAAAGAAAGAAATTGCAAGTAGATAAATAGGTACCACTTTGGTGGGAAGGTAACAGCGTTCCGTGTGCCTTGGTGTTTAGTCATGCCGGCCACATGACCACGGAAACGTCTTCGGACAGCGCTGGCTCTTCGGCTTTGAAACGGAGATGAGCACCGCAACCCTAGAGTCGGACTCGACTGGCTTTCGAGCAAGGGAACCTTTACCTTTAATACATAAAGATTCTAGCCAATGGCGATTGTACATTAACATCACAAAGAGCCTGAAGCGAGAATAGATTTAAACCAAGGATGGAATGCACACAGTCGACTTTGCATTTGTTTTACTGATCCAGAAAAGCGGAAAGTGCACAACCTGTGGCCAGAATACAGACCCGGAAATGGGTTTTGTTTTTAGCGGCAATCATATAGTTTACACGGAAGTCAGTGTGGCAAAACACGTACTTACTCTTCCGCAAACTTGCGTGCATCGGTTTCGACAGCAGGTATCCTGGATGCAGACGTCCAAGGCTCTGAAGCCACGGACGCATTTCGCTTCTTTCGGCTTTAATCTCCGTCTCCCGCGAGCGCCAGGCCAGGCCCTGCAAGTGAGGGAAGAGAAGCGCCTTTCCCGGAGACGGGGGCGGGTGTAGCGCCGCTCTAATCGCTGCCAGGAGGCAGGCAAGAGCCAGCCGGCGGCGCTACAGCTGCGGAAGAGGGCGGCCCGCTGAGGCTCGTCGGGAGGGCCCCGCGGGCTGGAAACGGAACCCAGACATGTCGGAACGGGGCTGACGCTTCCCCTCGCGGCCCCAGGAGCCAGGTGGGCGGCAACGACGACAACTCCCACGGACGCAGCCGCGCTCACTGGCCTCAGGCCCCGCGGGGAGAAGAGCGGGAACAGCAGAAGTGGGCGGTGGCCGCGGAGGAGGAGAAAGAGGTGCCTGAGGTGGAGGCAACCGCGGTGGGCAGACTGGGTCCCTCGTCGGGAAGATGAGGCGGAGGCCCGGGGAGCTGAGCGGGCTGAGCCGGGGCGCTTTCCTCTCAGCCGCCAGGGCAAGATGGCAGCGGCCGAGGAGGCGGCGGCAGCAGCAGCAGCCAGAGGCTGAGCCTGGCCTGAGAGGCGCCTCCTGGTAGAAGCGCTCCGGACATGCCGAGGGCGGCGGCGGCGAAGGCAGCGGTGGGGACTGTAGCGCTGCCGGTTCTGTGAAGGTGAGAGAGGCTGGGAGGAAGACAGCCAGCCAGACAGCGCGACCCGTCTTCCTTTCCTCTCCTCTCCCACGGCGAAGTTGGTCCGCCTCCTTTCCCTTGGCTTGTGTTTGGGAAGTTGCTGGGGTCAAAAATGGTGCTGAATAAGGGGGGGAACCCAAAAAACAAAAACCAACCCTAGGAGGATTATTTTTTTTACCCTTCACCCCTGAACTCCATTGCCTCTACAGCGTATTTATCTTTTTTTAAACCCTTTTCTTTTATATAAGGCACAGGGAGCCCACAAGTAAAGGGCTTTCCTTGGGGATTGGGTTTGGAATGCGGAGTAGATCGAATTGTGTGTTGCCGTCTTGGCCGCTCCTTTCCTGGCATACTGTTGGGAGTTTGGGTGTTCAGAAGGGGTTCGAGAGAGTTCCCCGTGCAATCGGACTCTTATGCGTGTTGACTCGGAAGCAAATATCACTCGAACGTAATTCCCAAACAGAAATGCATGGCCTTGCTGCCTTAGAGAGAGGGGAATTACTGATCGGGGGCTTAATCTCAGCTGGGTCTCAGCCGCTGTTTCTGAGTCCGACCCGACTGTGCGACTGAGCAACAACAAACAACTGAGCCCTGGGACAAGTGAAGTATAGTGTCTGCAAGCATATACCTATATATGCTTGGTAGTTCGGCTCGAGTAACCCACAACGAGTCTCTGTATTCTGGGGAGAGGAGAAAGGGTTGCTAGGTAAGAGGGCATGGATTTCAAAGTAGGTCTGAAGCCTGGCGTCTTTCTAAAAACTATGCCGGCACACGGTAAACAAGTTTTAAATTCTGGTATGGATCGATGTAACTAATTTTGGTAAACTTCTGTTTTACACCGTTGCCTTCCCCCCCCCCTTCCTGTATCACATTTAATAAGTTGACGTGTGTGTGTGTAGCTTGCTGTCACCAACAAAAATGAAAGCAAGCGGTAGTGTATAAATAGTATAGTTCTATTCCACGCATCCCTCTCATGCCCTTTTTTTTGTAACGTTTCCCCCCCATCCAAGAACTAGAATTTTCTGTTATGTTTTTCTCTCAACTCTCCGCCCCGTTTCATTATACGCTCGCTAGATGAGCCTATTCGGCCTGTGTAAAACTAACCTCTAGGATCCCTGCGCATGAAAGAAGAAATGTGACCCGACTACTCCGCTTGCAACTTGCTAGGGCAGCAGGAAGGCGTGGTCGCTGAGTGCTCTTGTTACCAGGGATTATTGCTTCCCTTTGGGACTCGGAGGTAATTTGCAAGTGTAGTTTTGTGACAGTAATGTCTATTTCCACGTCAGAGGGGGGAAAAAGCTAACTGAAAATGGTATGTGGAGTCATCTGGTGCTGCAGACAATTCAAACTAAGGATGTCTTTAAACTGAGGTCAGATTTAACAATAAGGGGTTTAGCATTTGGATTTTTAACATTTTTGTGACAGTATGTTGTATTTGTTATGAAAAAGCTATTAAAATGTTACTCTTCGGGTTGTCTAACACATAGTGTTGTTACTCAGTGGCCAGATTAGTTGGATAGGCTTATTTATGAAGTTAGGGTATGTTGAATTTTAGTTTTTAAAGAAACTGATATGGTGAACATTTATGGTGTAACTTCAGTCATGGGGGGGGTGTCTCCATTTTTTAAACATTGAGGTTGTGCCACAAAATTGTTATCTGCCGGGAGCATTATTTTTAAGAGGACTAATAAACTGAGATGATAAAATCTTCTCTTTTCTGAAGAACTCGTCAACTTTTGAGAGGCAGTTTGTGCATATTCTCTAGGCTAGATGTTGAGTTCTCTTGGCTAGGGATGGTGGTGTCTTATTCTAATGTGCCTTCTGAAACAGGATACTTGGCTATGTGTGTAGCTAATTTTGTAAGTGCATTTATATTAAGCTATGACTATGCCCTAAATGCTATATAAAGTGTACTCTTCATCATGGACACTTTTTTCTGTTGTGTTAGGCTTAATGTTTTTTTAAAAAACAAACAAAGCTAAGATAGTGGTCATAGACTTTTTCTGTACTTCCTTCAACATGTAGTTCAAGCTTCTCAGGGGCTGCTGCAATTTTACTTTTCTATATCTGCTTATAAGGGTAGTTTAAAAAGTTGTGTGGAGTATTGTTATGATCCTGAGAACTACAGTTCCCTAGCCATAATGAGGTTTACTGTTTTAAGTCCATGTGCATTTTGCATTAGAATCTTGTAGAGATGTTTTCATAACATATTTGCAAACTTTTTTTGGTGAGCTTTCCAAATAAATACTGTTACAAAAAAGTATGGTGATAACACTGCAGAATTACTGAAGTTCCCAATTCTAATGAATGTGTCATCAACCAGACAGATTAAGAAGCATGTAACTAGGTCAGGGCTCTGGCATGTAGAAGTGTAATGAGTGTATGAATGAGTCAAGACTTCTTCAGAGGTGACTATTCTATGGAAATATATTACATTGATCATAGACACACATTGCAGTCCTATGCGCACTGCACAAGTGGGAACATTGTGAGATTTACTTCTGAATAAATGTGCATAGGTTTGCCCCATAAGGGTAAATATATGGTGAGTTGCATTCATATATTCTGTGGGTAAGAGATACAGTCGTCATAGTTTGAGGTAATTAAACACCTTACTATGTGTTAAAATTAAATTTTAAGCTGTGTAATCTAATGTTATCAAACGCTTGAGTTGCACAGTTATTGTAATAAACTAATGTGGAAAACCATTCTTGGTAGGTGGAATTTTTGGCTTGAACAGCAAAAATAATTAACCCTTACACTTTGCATATTAATTGCTTACTTTATTAAGGAGAAGTGCTACCTAAATACTAAGCTAACTTAATTGTGTGTTGTGCACTGGTTGTTTTTCCACCCGTCAGCTCTTTGAGGCATCTTCTGTCATAAATCATTTAGTCTAATTACCCCCCTAATTGCACCCAGATAAAAGATATGCTGTAAGGTAACTGAAATTGGAAGCCCCTGGGCCTAAACTGATGACCTTATGGATCCTGGATGGAATCACATTTGTTAACCTAAAAATGCAGAGTATTTTAAACTCTGTAATTCATATTTTCCTAAATAACCATGGATAATAATTATTGCCATAACAACTAAAACATAATGGCTTGGAACCAAATAGCTCCTTTATCCTGCCTAAACACACAAATCCAAACATGCAGCTGACTTGTGCTAGAAAAGTTCTGTTTGCTTAAAAAGGTGAGCAGCAATGGAATTATTTCTGTTTGGCAGTTTCCGTACCTGTAGAAGGATATAAAGAAAGACCACTTATTTGACGACCAAGTTCACAGAGCTTTATATAAGTAAAAGACACGTGGTTGTTAGTGGGCAGAGGAGTGTTTCTTTATGTAACTGAAATGCAATGAAATGCTGCTTGATGTTCAGACAGTTGAAGTTCTCACAATACACAGCTATTGTGTCATATTTATAATGCTTGGCAGTAAAAAGTAAAATGATTTCCCCCCTAGTTCATGCTTTCTGGTGCCTGGGTTAGTAAAGGAGGAGTGAGGTGCGTGCGTGTGAACAAAAAATAGAAGAGTAAAATACACTCTCAGAACAGCTTGGGGTACATAACAAAAAAATATATTAGAAGTCTGTTAATAGGGCTGTGAGCTTCAAAAAGTGAGCTTAAACTCAGTGGCAAGATTTGAAGGTAATGTCAACTGTAATTTAACCACGTTCCTTCTCCCTGTTTCCTCCTGTTGCATGTAATGGTTAATTAAATGTGGCAAAACACAGTTTGTCCTTATGTCCAAGTTGAAACAATAGCTCCCTTCCCTCCAAGCCAGAATTAAGCCATGCATGTGGAAAGTTTTGGTTTTCAGGTCATGTGTGAAGGGGGGGTGTAGTGTGTTCGGAGAGGGAGGAGGAGACTCAGAGATGGAGGAGGAAAGTCGAAGAGGAGGCAGCCAGGTGGCAAGGCAGTGAGCAGCATTCACTGCCCTGCCATTTGACTGCCTCCTCCTCGGCTCTCTGTGCAGGTGCAGCGAGGCGCTGGGGCAGGCCATTAGAGAATGGCCCGCCCAGGTGCCTCACTGCGTCTGTACCAGCCAGCAAGAATGGCCCGCCCCAGCCCCGTCTGCGCCAGCCAGTGAGTCAGCTCTCCAAGAGCTCTCGGGCAGGCCATTCTCTCCTCCTCCCATGCCTCCCTATGCAGGATGGGACAGGATGGAGAGCTTGAGCCATGGGGGCTCTGTCCCTAAAGCCCCACCGCTGGCTATGGCCCTGATAATACAGCTTTGTAAATCTGCAAAAAAACCAAATTTTTTTGTCTGCCCACATATGCCTATTTTAGTCATTTATGATGTATTGATAGCCTGAAAGGAGTCAGACAAAATTCTCATCAAGTTCATAAAAGTTTCTGGCTGCCAGAAGGAAGCTGTCACTTGATAGGCGCAAAGGCAAGTGGCTATTTGCAAGCCTGTTGAAATGCTTTATTTCTGTTTCCCCTCCTTTTAACTTAAGCCATTGCTACTTGTTTTGTCTTTCTTTTTTAAATTAGAAAACAATTATGTCACTTCCTAATTATCTTCTCAAGTCTAAATCATGTAGTGCTATTACTTTCCAAGTGATCGTTAGTACATGATTCTGGTTAACAGAACCTAAAATGGCATTGGCTGGTTATGCCTCAGCATCACACCTTGATTAGCTTGCTGTTGCTAACTCAGACAATACTGCAACGTAATTTTGAAGGCTGGATTTGATGCTTTGTAGTTATAATGTTACAATCCGTTTTAGAATAACTTTACAATTTGTAAATATTAAAACAAAACCATCCAAACAAGTGTGTATGTGTAATGCAGTCCATTTTCTAGAAATTTCTGGCTAACTGAATTTATAGGTCTGTAAATCAATTGTTTAATTTCAGTCAAGGTGAAATATCAGCCAAGATGAAATATCATCTGTGTTTTCATAGTTTCTGTTTTGAAACTTTATAGCGATTTGATTATAAATGCCACAAAGATAAGGGGGAAAGTAGTGGTAGCGGAACTCATCTCTTCTCTCTATATAATAATTGTGTTTTGGGGTGGCACTCTCCCATTGGCTGTGCAATGCGCTCCCTCAGCCATTGGCCGATCAGCCGCCACTCGAGTACTCGCT